TTGACTTACTCAGGTAATTAGTTGACTAGGAACTCGACTATTTTCAAGCCATGCTAAAGGCTCATATTCATGAGCAGTATTTCGCGACCCGCGACGCGGCGACTGTCGCGCTGCTACTGCTACTCGTCAAATAAGAATGTGAGAAATCCGAAAAAAATAATGATTAATTTAGATATAAATAAGTTTACTAGATGTGTATATGGATATAAGTCTTCTATCTTTACGTTAGTCTTTTGACATTTCTAATTAATATCAAGAATAATACCTTATCTAGATGTAAATTGATTGAAGTACATGTTGTCTTTTTATTAATTGTTGAAATTGATTGTTAAATTAATATATCATCATTATTCATGTTTTCCTCAAGACATATACTTCTCTGTTTTTAATATGCAAACTTAAGCCTAGTGCTCACCACAATTTGTTCGCCTCCGGGCATACCATAGCGCTCTATTTTATTACCACTCATAAGACCTATATTTGTATGCACCTATGATAATAATATAATGTCCATTAAAATTATACTTACTTCTGCAGAAAGAATAGATATTTCACAAATCTGTACTATCTAGTATGTGTATATAGTTTTATATATAATACGTATTCCAACAACGATATCTATACGGATATAAATCGGAGCTGTAATCTATATATATAAAATTCAAAGGTGATTGACTGACTGACTGATTGACTGACTGACATAGTGATCTATCAACGCACAGCCCAAACCGCTGGACAGATTGGGCTAAAATTTGGCATACAGATAGATGTTATGACGTAGGCATTCGCTAAGAAAGGATTTTGATAATTTCCACCCCCAAGGGGGTAAAAAAGGGGATGAAAGTTTGTATGAGACTTTGTCAGTTTTAAACCGATCGGGTTGTAATTTGGCATGCAGATAGATGTTATGACGTAAGCATCCGATGTGAAAGGATTTTGATAATTTCCACCCCCAATGGGGGTAAAATAGGGGATGAAAGTTTGTATGAGACTTTGTCAGTTTTAAACCGATCGGGTTGTAATTTGGCATGCAGATAGATGTTATGACGTAAGCATCCGATGTGAAAGGATTTTGATAATTTCCACCCCCAATGGGGGTAAAATAGGGGATGAAAGTTTGTATGAGACTTTGTCAGTTTTAAACCGATCGGGTTGTAATTTGGCATGCAGATAGATGTTATGACGTAAGCATCCGATGTGAAAGGATTTTGATAATTTCCACCCCCAATGGGGGTAAAATAGGGGATGAAAGTTTGTATGAGACTTTGTCAGTTTTAAACCGATCGGGTTGTAATTTGGCATGCAGATAGATGTTACGACGTAGGCGTCCGCTGTGAAAGGATTTTGATAATTTCCACCCCCAAGTGGGTAAAATAGGGGATGAAAGTTTATATGAGCCTTTGTCAGTTTTAAACCGATCAGGTTGAAATTTGGCATGCAGATAGATGTTATGACGTAAGCATCCGCTTTGAAAGGATTTTGATAATTTCCACCAAGGGGGTAAAATAGGGGATGAACGTTTGTGTGAGGCTTTGTCAGTTTTACACCGATCGGGTTGAAATTCGGCGTGCAGATGGATATTATGACGTAAACGTCCCTTTAGAAAGGTTTTTGAACATTCTCACCCCAAAGTATGATACTTTGCCAGTTTTAAATTGATCGGGCTGAGACTTTGCATGCATAAAGTTACTATGACATAGGTATCTCTTTAGAAAGGATTTTGATAAATTCCACCCCTAAGGGGATAAAATAGGGAATGAGAGTTTGTATAAATCTTCTTAGCCGTTGAATTTAGAATCATTGAATCTTTTTGAATTACATTCGGTAAAACGATGATTTGGGACCTGGGTAACGTATGATAGTTTTTTCACAGATGTCTCACGAGAACGGGAACTATGCGTCAATGCCCCAGGACTCTCTAACTCTTAACCACTGAACTTATTCTAGAGAGATTCGGTACAACAATAGTCGATAGAATAGTTTTTATTACTCAAACCTTACGTGATCGGGCACTGTACTGGTAAGATCCCTGCGGGATTATTTATTTATTGAAACTACGATAAATCATTTCAAAATAGGTAAATCTTACTTGGGCACTGAATTGATTCTGGTTAATTCTGTCAGAAGTCATTAATCTACGCGGACGAAGTCGCGGGCAACAGCTATCTACACATATAATAAATCGTAGAAAAGTCAAAACTGTACATTGAATATTTTTTAAAAGAATATTTGAAGCGTGATCTCTAATCGATACCGAAGCCAATAATGTGGTTTTTAGAATTTTTGTCTGTTTGTCTGTATGTATGGCCGTGATGATCTCAAAAAGTACTGCACTACTATTTCAAATTTTGCATGAATATTACTAACAAGTCTGGTAAACATATAGGCTACATATTATCACGCTATCATCTACGGGACTGAATCAATTCTGACGACATCCATTACCGTAGAATATCCCTTGATAAAAACTAATTCAAAAGCCTAAATTTTGCCAGAAGTCATTATTCTACGCAGACGAAGTCGCGGGCAACAGCTAGTGGCAGTATAAATTCAAGGCATATCCGAATCTGAGTGTATCCGCAATATCGGATATTTCGGGATATTCGGGCAGTACGTGCGGGATTTAGTGGCGACGCGGTCACTATGTTTACATATTGAAAGATTGGGCTCGGTTTGGTACAAGATATTAGTGGCACTAGTTTGGTAATCATACTAACTCTCATCTTTTAGATTTAAGATGTCATAAATATACGAAAGGTCTAAGTTGAAATGAACGATGTATTAGTCATCAATGGAGGCCTATGTTCGGCTGTGGACGTCTCGGCTAGGATGATAAAGATAATATTATGATGGTACAGATGATGATGGAAAAAGTAACCATGTAAGTTCAAATTAGAGCCTAAACAGTGTGCTTTAGATCATCGGTACATATAATACTCCTAGAAGGAATATTGGACCAGTTACATAAAACATTTTTTATATACAAATACCTGACTCGACAAATTTCGTACCTACCGCCTATAATTTAATTTCTCACCTTTTAAACCTTCCCAATACTTCCACGAACATCTCAAAACTAAAATTAGTCAAATCGGTTCCCTCGTTCTCGAGATTTAGCGAGACTAACGAACGGGAATTCATTTTTATTTATATATGGGTATAGTATAGATAATAGTCCCTCTTTCATTAAAGGGAATTTCCAAACTGAAAATTCAATATTCATTGTTTTATCCGATCACAATACATAGCGATAAAAATTCAATTGTATCACTAACGAGTTATCCATGAAAATGTATTTGATTATTTTATTTACATAAACGTTGTTCAATGATAACAAAAAATACCGCTTCATTTCCCTTCAGTCGCGTTGTGAAAGTTAAAAAATTTTTTTTAAAAGTATTTCATATTCTACGATACAAAAGTGTTCAATAGAAAGTTGAAGCGATACTTTATATTTGCATTATTCATGGGATGATGAAGACCTGCTTATACATTCAAACTCCACCGGTCATCCCAGCGGATATAAGCGTCCCATGGGACTAACAGAATTATTTATCACATAAAAATATGCAATATTTTATGTTGTTGTAAATCACTGTTGACAGGGAAAGAACGGTTGATGATAATTTTATATTTTGTATATCTTTTGTGAATTTCATATTTGGTGTTCTAAAAGACTTTTTTTTAAGGGGGGAAAATCATCGAATGACTGCTCCCGCCTGGGTGAGGCGGGAGGGAATGTCAGACTCTTACTGACTTAAAACCACCCCGTTCCTTCTCCTGCACGTCGAGCCGGAGCTCTGGTAACCCGTTAGGTTCACCGCGACTCCGAATCGGCATCAGCCCTATTGGGCCCCATCCATGGTGGTCTGATGGCTCTTTGAAGCGCACGCGGTTCTAAAAGACTAGACACTGATTTATATTTGTACTTGATATTTTATTGTAATTCTTCTTGAACTACGGAATACTTCTGTATCAATTATTATATGTTTATTTGACAAAAACAACTTGTAAATGGACGACTTTTAATTTTTCCTCTTTATATTTCACCAAATTAAAAGTATTTTCTTTACTCTCTTACCGTTCATAGATTATTTAATTAATAGTAACCGAAGTAGTGCATTTTACTAGTTGCTATAAAACTATACAAAAAGGTTGAACTAGTTGTAAGTACTTAGTAGGAATATAAAGTGTAATGAGTGTAGTAGCCCTTGCTAATGGAGGGACCAACCACAATCATACATAATTAAACTTAGAATAACTATTTAGGCAGACATGTTTGTTAATAGAAGACGGTGAGTAATTGTGAATTATACATGTAGGTGGGTAACCTCAGCGAGTTGCTTATTATTTAACTCGTCGAGTACCGGTTTTGCAGACACAATTATAGAACAATAGGTTGCGGTCACCGGTGACCGCTTGGTGTTTGACAGTTTAATCATAAACATATTATATCAAGAATAGTGTGTACTGATATGTTTTTTTATCAATAGTTTGTTTATTCATGCCTTGGTTTTAGAGCAATTTATTTAATGGATTCTAGAAATAAATAAAGGGTACAAGTTTATTTAATACTAAATGTATTACTGTGTATTGTTATATCATTTACATTAATGCTATTTCTGTACAATTATTATATAAAAATTCAGTCATAAATAGGAGACAATAATAGCGATACTTTTAAGAAACATAAGGTCAACATATATCCCTCTAACCGAGGCTAAAAACGAAACAAAATGGTGTCATTTACATATATCTAGTGGAAGAAAACGTTTCTCTAATCAGATGAATGTTTGATAACGCTGGTTTCGCCCCATCGACCGGCACAACCTATTTTTAGTCATCGACCGGTCCATACCTACGTGAAAATTTCAGAAGGCTGCAATTGGCTGGGGGAATGTGACGTCACTTTCCGCCCCCGACCAATAAGAGGGCAGGATTTCGCGCATGGCTCTAAAGCCTTCTCAGAGCACTGTCGAGGCTCGCCAGTTCGGGCGAGGTGTCCCCAGGTGTGCAAGTACCCGCCAGTACAAACAAAAGGTCAATATATTTTTCTTTTATAAAACCGCCATATTGATTTCCGTTCGAATTATGAAATTAGAAAAATAATCGCGAGATTTTCGACTTTTTAGAGCATTTTTCGTAGTGTGCGTGGTTTTTTTAAATTTCGAAGCAATGTGCGGCCATTTTGATATGTCATATATAGAATAATATTATAACGTGTGTATAAGTTCATATTGTGTACTAGTGTAGTTGTGTGGTGTGGTGATGGCAGAATTAAGTATTGTCAATGTGTGGGTTACATAATGGTTACGTAATGGGGGTGACAGTGTTGTGTCTGTGTGAGAAGAATGTATGAGTGTGTGAGAGAGAGGTTGCTATTTTTGTTCTAGAAACTGTAGATCTATTAGAAGTAATTTGCTGACCTTTTATCTTCCTTCTTTTTCTTTTTTAGTATAAATTTATATTTTAACCCAATTTAAATAAGACATATGTTCATACATCGATTGAAAGCACATTTGAACTCCATTTTCGCTATACCTGAGCGCGAATTTTATTTCCGAATTAGTTGCCTATAGTATCACATTTATTATTTAAATATACATATATAACTTGCACCGCACCTTCTCTTTATAATACTCAATACGTTTTGTACCACATGGAATAGTTAAAAGCTTTCCTAATTGATTACTGCGTAGCACTTTTGCTACGGGACGTAGCGCGCCGTAGTGAGCGTAGCCGACGGCTACGAGCCGTAGGCGCTTTCAATGGGAGACAGAAATGGAATAATTTAACAACTTTTAGTATGTTTTAGTATTGTAATACTTTTGTAAGATCTATATTTGTCAATAAAATGACTTATATAACCGATTTTAATCCTCAAGGGGTAAGCAGAATGTTATAATCACATTTCACAGTCCGATGTAAAAATGTTGTCATTTTATTTATATATATATACAAATATGCTTTAGAATATAAATGTCACTGATCAGTTTTAACCAATCAAGGCTTCATTAGATCGGTGATACAAGTTGTATGGGTTTTTATATTACTAAAGATATAATGAAAGTTAAATCAAAGCTTTCCGTAACATAATATATCTAAAGCTTAGTGGAAGTTAGACTTGGAAATGGCCTTTTTCATTTAATTGGACGAATAATGTTGAATTCTCGTTAGCTTTATAACATCACGTTATGAAATTAAGTAATAAAACAGAATAGTATACATATTAAACATATTCCTTTTTTTAGTCTTAAGTTCGTTACCATGGAAATCTTAATCCAACCATACTAAACGTTAGCAACAAAATTCCCTACATGCATTTAAAAATGAGCCTCTATAATTATATAATCTTTTGAATAAAGTTTTAATGAATCACAAACGTTTAAAACTTCCTCGTCTTGGATTTGAAACCAAAATTACCACAATTTTCCTACAAGAGCTAAATATATATTAAGTAATTCACAAAAGTTACATTTTGATCCCACAAAGGGACCGGAAGTCATAAAACCGCGTCTAGTCCCGGCCACAAGATGGCGGCCGGAAGTAACTCGAGTGGCGGTTTCCGCTGGTACACATCCGGTGTGGAGGCTCTCATCTTAAGATGTAGGGAATGTGATTATTTACGAAGTTTATACATCATAGTAAGAAGAAATGTAACTAATAAACTTTCAACTATAAGTGTCGATATGTTGGACAAATATTTCGATCAGATTATGATGTTAGTTGACTTATAACGAACCCATAAACTGGACAACCTCATATTTTTCACAGTAAACACTGAGGCAAAAGATGGGACGTAAAAAAGTAAAGAAGTATTTTATAGCAATAAAAAAATTCTGTTGTGTTCCAGATGTTTCTATATCCTTTTGAACTCCTTAAAGTAATTACATAGAAGAATAATGGTAACTTTTGACCACTATAATCTGGCTACTAGTCCACTAGGTTAAAACGTAGGCACTAGGTCCAATAAGTTACATATTATTTTCAATAAACGGACCAAAAGGGAGATGTAGAAAACATTTAATACCATATTATGATTACCTTATCTAAAACTCGTAGGCTTATATATAAATCTTTATTCTAGCACCTCTAAGTATATGTTTGACCTAACGAACATAACTTAGTATTAAATGTTAGGTCACTTCAGCATAATATAATAGCAGTTTACATAAAACTGAAGGCCACATGTATCGGGGCCAATGCTGTGTCCCACATTCCGTGGGGGTGGCCAGAGATTGAGAGTGCCGATACGTTGGCAACTTGCCAGAACTGGTGCGATGTTACTGGGTGGAGTTTGAATGTGCTGGTTTGTATGTTATGGATTAGTTGGAAGGTTCTGGAAAAGGAAAGGTGGTGGGTGTTATTTTTACATAGTTGACACAAGTATGAGTTCGACTTCTTTAGATATTCTGGTTTTGATATTGTCCTTTAACGCCTCGGACAAAAACACAAGTGTTTTTGGCCATCCTCCAGATGGAGGATTTACCCTTCAAAGTTTTATGTCGGAAGTGAACGTTTTAATTGTTTGTGTGAAAAGGCTGCTAGAGATTTTATGATATATATTTGGAAGTTTCCTATTTATAGTAGATGTGTTACTAATGAAATATTGTCTGTTGTTGCAGTGGCACACGCGGGCGCACCATGGTGAACGGCCCACAACCGATACATATCAAATAACGCACTGATTAACTTACTATATCTAGTACTAATATACTCTACCTATAAACTATATACTCTCGCGATATTTACACTTACTATTGTGGATTTGGGACATTTAGGGGTTTAGTACTTTTTGGTATATTTTGGGGGGTCGGCTAGTTCTGTGGGGGGTGTTCGAAGTGTCGACCGTGGAGGCGGAAGGCGGTGCGCTGTTAGGGCGGCTGGGGGGCGCGCTGCGCGGGGGCGCCGCCGCCGCCTCGCCCGCGCGGGTCGCCAGCACCATCAGGGGCTACCTCTCCAACAAGGTCGGCTCGCTGCAGCTCAGAGACACAGGTAACAACTTCTTCAGTATTACACAGAGACGAATGTTCGGGACTTGGAATGTATTTGACATTGTCTAAGTATCGTAAAAAATCCTAACGAAAACTTTATCAACGAAAAGAAATTAATTTTCCAAACACCATAAGTCCTTTTGTTTATCAATCAGATACGGGACCCCAACAATAATTCTTTACAAGCACTCAACAAACAAAAGCGCGGGCCCCTAAAAGACAAAGGTATTATTATTTACGATGATATTAAGACACAACACAGAATCGTGAGGGCTCTCACTGAACAAACATTGGGCCCACCGTCACCGTGCACACACGACAATCAAATATAAACCTTATTACAACACAGTAGGGATTACGTGGGCAGTAAATGTTTGGTAAAGTTAACGATAACCAAATATTTGTTGGACAACGTTATAAAGTAAATTGGGGGAGGATGTGACGCAATATAAATAAAGGAGCAGCGGAACATTGTGCCGGGGAGACTGGTGATCTCTGGCGGGTGTAATTGGGACTACTGTGTTGTCGAAAAATATGAAAAAGAGCGACAGATGGCCAATTGGCCAGTTACCTTCGTAACTAGACTGATAGTGACCAGTTGGAATATAATTGAAATACACTGATTTTAAGGATATTAAACTAAAATCTTACGAAATACAGGACTAGCTTAAAAAGCGAGGAACTGTAGCCAATAAATATCTTACTATTGGACATATCTAATGATGAAAACATTAAAATCAAATCCAACCTCAAATCCTGTAACGCTAATCACAGAATTTCTTCAAAGAGTAACGCGGACATAATTGTACCAACATTAATTAAAGTTCAATCAAATTAAATCGTTATCCTATTCAATTAGTTCGACCAATCACGAGCGATCGATTGGACGAGTCTAAATAATTAACGCGCCGACCGCTTTGAACTCGGAATTAATGTTAGGGGCTAATTGCATTTGTTCCAAGGATCGAAGGGCGCTGGTTTCTCCACAATTTGGTAACACAGAACAAATATTTTCATTTCCTTTTTGAAGATAGAAGTATCCTGCAAAATTACGTTTTATGTTATTAGCCTAAATTTGCTTTACTAATTAATTGAATTATATTTAATTAAAGTATACGTTTAATGGTACAGTTTATGCTGAAAGATTTTATTTATTTTCTTGAATCTCTTGGGATACTAATCTTGTTGCTAAATATTCAGAGCAAAATATTCATCTTGAAAACATATTACTCACAATACCTGTTCATGTCTAAATACGAAAATTAATAACTTGAATACAATACTTGTATTACTACTGTGTGTGATAATACGAACATCAATACAGCACATGTTTTTAGAACACTGTCAAAAATATTTCAAAGATGAATGAAAGGTACAGTAGCAACGAATCCAATTTGAATCTTCCTCCAGGATCCCTCTTACAAGGCCACCGTAAAACAATATCTCTAGCTAGATCTATGCTTGTATTTGTCTGCAAAATCAGACCTCTCCAATATTTGTACCTTTCGCCACAAAACCGACCCTCGTTGTCAAATTTCGCCAACTTTCCCCTCGGGCACTAATTGCGTCAATTACTGTATCGTGGTGACGCAGGTTCGAGGCCCGGGTTGGGGTGGAATGAAGCAGGTTAGCGAAGTATTCGAGGTATTCATGTAGTTTAGTTTTAGATTAGTCTGGGGAAAGTTTGTGTTATGACGTGAATACGATATCTTGCTGTTGAAGTAGTTTATATCATATATCTAAAAATACTTAATTAAAGGTTTGTCATTCAGCAATAGCCTTTCAAAGAAAAAAATACAGTTGTTAGTGACTAAAGTATATACATAACTGCGCGCCTTGTAAGCACCATACTCAAGTTTAGTTTATTTTTCAAATTCCTCAGTGTTCCGAAATGATATTTAACTTCAAAATTAAAAGTATTTTCTTTCAATATGTAGCAACATTATAAATGAATATTGCCACGTCCTTAACAATTAATGTTTCCGGGTCACAATTCGAAGTCCCTCAACCGATTGTGCAATAAAACATTTTTCCTATCTTTAATTTCATTCCCCGTGTCCAAAGCTCCCCAACTTGCCCCTCTGTCGGTCCCCTTCTCATTAAGCGTGCAACCGAACACGGATCTATAATTTTTGTCGACAAATTCCAATAATGACGTCATTCAGGCGCTTAGTTAATAGGCTACGGGAAATAACCGTTTTTCTAATGGACCTGCCATAAATATTTTCTTCATTTTAACGACCTCAACTGGTTTTTAATGAAAATCTATTAAACAGGGTGTTTATTTTTGTATAATTACGTTTTTTCGTTGGCCAAGCAGGTGTACTTTTGTTCGAGGGATTGGTTGGTGGTGATGAGGTCTTGGGTTTGGATTCATGAGCCGAATAAAATGTCTAAGTATATCGATCGGTAAACAATAAACAGCTGAGCAATAAGAATGGTTGTTTTAAAAAAAAATATACATCCAGGTGTTATAAAAAGTATTCAGAAACACTCTTTATATTTATTTTATTGTGTCCATGCATGGAAGATATTTTGTTGAACTTACACATTAATCTCTTAGCTAAAAGCTAGTTGAAATGAATAGAAATGTATACGAAATCGAATACCATGAAAAATATCCATTTGTATGATCTCTCTCAAAAAACCATATTTCTCAGTTAGGTATAAGCCGATTTCGTAAATCGAAACGCGAAAACGGGATCGACTGTCACCAAGTCACGTTTATTTTACAAAAACAAATGAGATTTAGGCCATGTCGTTTTACATTGCGCATTAAATGCGTGATTTGGTCGCGTGCCTTCAAAGCGAGCTGGCAATGTAACTTGACATTTAATTTTCAGCATAACTTTGCATTGCTAGAAACGAAATTGGATTTTCTTTTTAGAGTCAACTGTCGGTTTGAAAGGCCTTTTTGTATGTAGATGTGATTGTATCGCTCGAATGTTCATTGTGAAGGGATGAGCAGACATGGTAGGTATGTATTGTTTGAAATATAAACTTGAAATGCATTTTTTTTCTGACTGCCTCGTTGCCCGAGTGGTCGCAAGTGCGACTGCCGGGCAAGGGGTCTCGGGTTCGATTCCCGGGTCAGGCAAAGTATTACTGGGTTTTTAAAAATCTCAGTAGTAGCGGAGTCTGGAAATGTGCCCGGTATATAGCAATAGGCTCACCCCCTATTGCATGGGACTCATAACATCGTTACATTGTACAGTGGCATTTAGTGCCGTAATGTGCACCTCTGCCTACTCCTTCGGGGATAAAAAGGCGTGATGTTATGTTATGTTACAATATTTTTCTTTATGACATTATCATAATATACTTCGTGACGCCTGTCGGTGGGAAGTCCCAATCTGACATAGTTTCTGAGTTCGTATTCTACTGAATCCTAATGTCTAGAGCCAAGCGTAATGACTTGCGTTTATTAACCGTGGGAAATCCCTTTAATTGCTATTGGATTGGGGTATTTACAATGTTATAGTAATCGATATTGTCATAAGTAGCAGTTAACTCTGATGATTGAATCATTTAACACTAAATACTTATATTAACAAAAAAATATACACAACTTGCTTTGAATTCTATATTTCACTGGTTCTCCAGAAAGTGTGTGAGAGCCATGCCGAAGCACGTATGGGCCGGCTAGACCGGAGTGATACCAATTACCCCTCCCCCCATTCCCAATCGCTAAATCCCCAACAATCCTCAAATCGCTAATCCCAAAAGGCCGGTAACGCACTTGTAATGCCTTTGGTGTTTCAGGTGTCCATGGGCGATGCCGATTGCTTACCCGCATCAGGTTATCCGCCTGCTCGTTTACCGGTTAACCCCATAAAAAAGGGTTGATTCGATATTAAACCTAGTAACAGAGAGAGCCAGCTTTAAAATAAACCAGCTCGTACTTAATTTCAATGGAGCAGTTTCCAACATACTTTAATACAAAGTTAACAATACACTGAGTCGGGGGAGAGTGGGGCGCGTAGGCTCCCTGTTTATGAATATTTGATATAGCTCGCCTCCCGCCGCCGCCTGCCGCCGGCACAAGTCGAAACTCGTGTATTATGCTAATATTGCCGGCAGACATGACATGATTGTCTTGCGGGATGATGCGTGCGATTATGAGTGTTGAGAACGTTCTAGAAAGTGGTTCAGATAACGAGGATACGCGATATTTTTGCAAAGGAAATAGGATCGACTTACATAGTCTATTTTTGGAAAAATATAATTTCGGTTTTTGTATGTCAAATGTTCATCACGCCTGTCTGCGATAAACTCAAGCAAGATGGACTGATGTTACAGTGATTGTAAACTTAGAGAGCAGACCGAAAATTGTCGTGAAAGAAAAATTTTGCCCTATAAACCATTATACCTTTCCAAACATATAATTCGCAAAACTACTAACAATGACTATGTCAATAACTACTTTCGAGAACTCAATATAGGATTACAAAGAAAATAATTTTCTCGATAGCATTGGGATCGATACGTGGCAGCACTATTTATTATTTATATTCGGGGAACACACGCCACCGCCGCCAGTACACAGTAATGGGAAATATCGATTTCACAATACTCTTGCAGAATATTTTATTTGTGCCGTTGCCAGGGGAATCAGTTTCGCCTAAACTTTAGGCAGCAATATAAATGCCTTATATTTTTGTCTGTACTCGCATGTAGAGATTTCTTTCATTTTAAGCAAACAACAAACGTAACACAGTAACTTAATATAACATAATATCACGCCTTTTATCCCCGAAGGGGAAGGCAGAGGTGCACATTATACCATTGTACAATGTAACACCCACTTTTCACTATTTATGTTATGAGTCCCATGTTATAGCGGGTGAGCCTATTGCCATATACCGGGCACAATTCCAGATTCCGTGCTACTACTGAGAATTTTTAAAAACCCAGTAATACTTTGCCCGACCCTTGTATCGAACCCGAGACCCCTTGCCCGGCAGTCGCACTTACGATCACTCGGCCAACGAGGCAGTCAAC